GCTTAGTTTCCTGGCAAGTTTGGTGCGCATCGTCCAGCTGTCGCCGATAGCTCGCCTTCTCAGGAACTGTAGGCTCAAGGTTCAGAGTTGATGCTTTAGGTTTCGGTGTCTGGAGACTAGAACCTTTCAGTCAGGACACAACTCAGCATTCAAGTTATCGGTCGCGTATTTATGTTCTTCGGCCCCGGGTTTCAGTGTGTGGAGGGGTTTCGGTGCTGGGGCCACGTGGTTGCACGAGTGTGTTTCTGACGTTTGGCTTGGACCTTGCGCGAGACACTCTCTCACAGAAAACCAAAGCTCATGCGAGTTTCAGGCGCCATGGGACGACCGTATCCCAGAAGAGGGACCCTAGTAAAACAGAAACACAGCTCCGGCTGCAGCACCCGTGGCTTCATTGAAGTCGGGTGAGGCCCTCAGAAGCCTTGAAAACACGACACAGAAACACACAATCGAACTCCGACAACATGCACCACACCGGGGGTGCGGCGAGTGCAGAGAGCATTATGGCTACAAGCCAGGCTAGATAATCCTGTCAAGCGTTTGTAAACGAACGAATAGATTTCACCCAGCGCCTGCAACCTGTCCATTCAAACAACACAGGCATAAGGCGTCTGAAGCCGCTATGACACTATGAATCGTTCACCATAAAGCCCTAAGCCCTATGAGCCCTATAAACCCTAAGAATCCTGCACCCTAAACCCTAAACCCTGTCAGCCCTATAGCCCTAATCGATTAGACGATCAGAAAACGCCATGCTGCCGAATCCTTTGGCACCATCTCCGAGCCTGGGCTGCCGGCCCCAGCACGGGCTGAGGTCTCTCCCCGCCGTCCAGGAATTTAAGGCTCATAATTAGAAAAGGGTTTTGGGGGATCCTTATTATAACTATTGCAAAAATATACCCCAAACCCTAGGCTACGTCTAAAACGGCTACCACAAAGTACCCCTTATAGGGTTTACAGAGCTTCTTTGGGGCTCTCAGTGCGGATTTATGCAGCTTAGGCTTTGTAGGGGGTTCAGGTGTGTGGGGCTCGCAGTCGCATTTTAGGCGTTTGTGCTGCAGGGCTCCATGGCTTCGGGGTCATACAGCGTCTTGCGGATTAGGGGTTCTACATTTGATCCTTTCCTTTAAGCTGCCATAAGCCATGAGCTGTTGTGAGCTTCTTAGTTCGAGGCAAAGGCTGTATACGCCTCAGTATTCCTTGATGCTGCCCTGTATTTTTCTTCCATACACTGTGACGACATTAGGTCATGAGCATTTCTTCGAGCCGTAGTCGGGCTGTGCCCAAGCCCCAGGCGCTAAAGCCTGAAACGCGAAGGGTGAGAACTCTTTTGACAAGGCTGCTAAGCTTGAACTTATGCTCATCCCGTCTTCTGTGCTGCTTGCTGTGACCCACTGTAGGGCGGTGGAAACCCTCTTTAGAGTATTTAGTATTTGCAACGCTTAACATTTGCAGTTGCACTAAATGTGTTACAGTGTGATTTTGGACCTGGAAACACGATGTGCACCCCCCAAATAGGCCGTAAGCCGTAAACTTCGACATCTCCAGCTGGGTAGAAGAAAACGTATGTCTGTAGATATGCATATCCAGTCGCTCACTTTCTGCTCTGCCTGGCTTCAGCTGGGGCCGTTCGAGCCCAAGTCCTTGGCCATGCGAAATCCTAAAGGAAACCCAGGAGGCAGGTATCAGACCTCCAACTCCATGCAAGACCCTCAGCATGAAACTCCAGACCTACTGTTACTAGTTGAAACATCACCCTGCTTGGTTCCAAACTGCGTGTCTTATTCCCAAACAGCCCGACGATGCGTCCGACATTAAAATTGTCACTTCCGAAAATACTCTAGGAAAAGCCTACAGGCTGAAGCCGTGGGCTTGTGGAGCTTTTCGGGCTTCTACATAGGAGGTTTGCTCGGACATTGTGGTGACACTACCGGATTGGTAGAGAACTTCCTCGCTGCCGCCATGCGGATCAATGTTGGCGTGGGAGATGTGGTGCCTTTCCGGAATCTGAGGATAATTTCTGTTGTAAGTCACGTGACTTGACGGGTCCGAAGTTGCAAAAGAGGGCAGACTATAATGACTGATGACCCAGCAGAAGGCTAATTCTAGACTGCTCGGCAATAGATACACGTGCTCTAATCCATTCCCGCAAAGGCAGCGGTTTCCAATCTTCAGTCGGCAAACCCCTCGTTTCCCCAAAACGTTGCCACTTCGTTGAAGAGGCCGTCTCTAATCCTACACTCGCAAGATTTTGCATGGCCCGAAGCTTATGCGAAGCCTTCAAGTTTCAAAGGCATGAGATTCGATGGTTTAAGGCTCGTGGGTTGAAGGTTCAGAGTTCGATGGTTTATCTCTTTGGGTTCCCGAGCCTCAAGCCCTTTCTCTCAGCATCGCCTGTCTCCAGCAAGTTTGCTGAACGAGCAGGCTGGCCACATGCAAATGCTTGCAAGGGTTGTCCGAAAAGCAGGCACAGTGTTTAGAGAACCAGCAGGGAAGAAGGGCAGGAAACGGGCTCTACCCCTGTCGGGTTGGTCCCGAATTGGGTATCAATGCCTCGAGCAGTTGCGGGTTCATGCTCAGGTCGTCATGGTCGTTCTGTTCACCTTGACCGTGGCCAAGGGCCTCTTGCCTTCAGTGCAGTTCTATTCTAATTGTTAAGGCCCCCTTTTGTAGCACCTTGAAGCCCTGGAGCTCCCCCTCCCAGCACCTGCATCCCTTTCTTCTACGCAGTTGCGGGGTGCTGAACGATGAGCCTTGTGAGCTCAACATAAACGACCCCAAACTCCAAAGCCACAAGCCGCCCAAACTCGATAACCGATATCAAAGCCATGAACCTATTCCCTGCTACTTCTACCCTGAACCCTATAAACCCCCAGGCCTAAACCTCCAGCGGGCTTTTGAGGCATCTGGGTCAGTGTCAAGGCCAAGAGGTCCCGCGACGGATCGGAGGAGCCGGGACCTCAGGGGTTCTGTTTTGGGTTCAAGGTCTAGGGTTGAGGGTTTTAGGCTTAGGGTTCGGGGTTTAGGCAACTCTAAACCCTAAACTCTAGCAGCGAAGATATGCGCCATCTACCTTCTCTCGTTCGTATACACAGCTGCAACAGCGCAGCAGCTTTGTGTCAGGTTTTTCCGCTGTGGTCGTTGCCCCTCAAGATTTCCACTGCATGGCCTCGAGCTCCCATCCGGTTTCAGTTTCCAAGCATGACCGACCACAGCAATCCAAGTGCTGATGTCTCGGGCAGGCAGTGAAGCGGATAGATTTTGGGGTATAAGGGTCACAGACGTCGTTAATTGGTGTTGGTCTGGAACAGAACCGTCGTTGGAAAAGGGCACCTGATCTAGTACGTTGTTGGCTTCCTATTTCCAAGCTTGGAGATCCTGGGTCTTTTCAGTCGTATTCCAGTTGCTGTAGTTTCCCAAGGCGGCTCGAACCCCAGGAGCACATGAGTTGCCCTTCCTGAAGCTCGAATTCCGGTCCAAAATCTGTTCCGTACTTCCTGGAGCTTGCAAGGCCCACCGACTTCTTCCTGGCTGGACGAAGCATGCCTTGGTGGGCGGTGGGGTCACTTGTCCGCATGGTCTGCTTCCGAAACCCTAACCCGACGCCAAAGCTTCACCTGAAGTCTCTGTAGTCGGGGTGCTGGAGTTTCGGGTTCAGGGTCGGTCAGGATCGGCCTTTCGAGTTTGTGGGGCCCATGGCTCTGTCAGGTGCATGTCGGGCTTAATGGGGGAACTTGCCTTGTCTCTCAAGACAGGGGGCCCTTGCTTCTTGAATACTTGTGGCGGGTATTCGATAGAGCTTTGACTCAGATGGCCATGGATAGCGGACTCCTTGCTTGTCATTCCACATCGACCAACTCGAGTCAAAGTCAAAGTGGGCCAACACCATTCCAACTGCCACTCCATGAGATTATCCGAGCACTCCAGCCTAAACCCTAAGCCCTAAACCCCAAACCAAACCCATCCGAAACCCCTCACCCAAAACCCAAACTCCTAAACCCTGACCTTTCCGAGGCTCAGCATCTTTGACGGAGCCTCAGAGGGTTAGCGTTGTGGGATTGCGCAGCATGATACGCAGAGAGGTGTAGCGACATGTGTTTGCTGAGTTTGCGGCGCTGAGCAGAGACCGTAGCATTCCGAGCCTCGTTTTCCATAAGCAGAGCACGAGGAATCGTCTAAGCTATGCTTGGAGGTTCATGGGTAGTTATAAGTGGAGTTATAAGTCCCCTAATGTAGGTTATAACTATAGCTACCCTACTTATAACCCTACTTATAATACCCATGAACCTCCAAGTACTGTGGGTTGCGACTATGGTTCCCCCACCTATATCCCTACTTATTTCTAACCATGAACCTCCACGTGGGGCACCGAAAACAGGCTGGAGCCTGGACCCCACTTTTGTCTCTATCTTACGTAAACCTCCTCTGGCTACTAGGCTGCGCTTGTTGGGCTCCTGGTAACATGTTCAAAGGCGACGCTATACATACACGTATACCGCATAACATAATGTAAACCCAAAGTCCTAAACTTCTAAACTTCCTAATCCCTGTGACCCGATGCCTTCGGCATCCCACTCCACCCGCAGGCATCGAACATTGGAACGGAGCACTTCGTTGGCCAGGCGCTGGGCGCTTGTGTAGCTGCAGGCCCTGAAAGGACACAGCGGTGTAGGCTTTAATGTAAGGGCCTTCATAATTAGAATAGGGTTTTGGGGCTTCCTGATTATAGATAACTAGTATACTATACCCCAAACCCTATTCTAATTATTAAGGCCCCTATATTGGAGCTTCGGGCTGGGGTTTAGTGTCTAAGTCTGGAGCTCAGGGCTCAGGGTTAAGACGTAGGGCTTGGGGTTTAGAGGATGGCCTTACCATGAGGACGCAACCTTCCGCAGGGCTGAGACTGGAACAGGCAGCAGGTGTACTGAAGCTGTTTCATGCACTTCATCGCGATCCCCTAGCGTGATTTTAATTTTGAGTCGTCTACAACGAACAGATGCATGATTTCTTCCACTCTGCAAGAGGCAGGTGCTGCTGCCGAAGGTGGCGTCTCGGTTGCCATGTACGAGTGGTCTGCAGGCAGCAGGGGCTTTCGGGGTCCAGAATTGTTTCAGAGCAGTTGAAGCGATCTGAGTGCATCCAAGTGTGGTTCATGTCCTTACCACGGTACTGGGCTAGAGGATGATTCATCGATGGCCGAGGAGTATAGTCTATAATTACGTAATGCAAAACCAACCCATTGAGAACAAGCTCCGGTTCCCGGGTCGCAGAACCCAAGAGCTTTAGAGTCCATTTTCGCTTGGAACAGGTAAGCACTTGCGCAGCAGAGCCAAGTGACGAAATTCAATGGTCAGCAAGGCAAGCTCAACTCCATCCCAGACAGGCCTACTGATTTTCTTCCTGGGCTTTGGCCTGGCACCGCTGTACCTGGGCCTTGTGACTCGGCTGGCTGCCCATCTCAGAACGCAGGTTCAAGTGTGACAGGCATTCTCTTCGTAGCGTCTGCTCTTCGTAAGTAAAGGTAAAAACGCGGAGGCATGCAACAGGGCCCAAGGGTTTGAAAGAGGGGGCAAAGCCGACGACAGGTCTATCTGTGAAAGCATACACTGACCATAACTTGCATTCTACACAACATCACTTTGTCGGAGATTTCAAGCAGTGGTGAGTCATACACCTCAGGGGCCTTTGCCTGGGGCTCTTCGGGTCTGCGATTACCCCATGGCAGTTCCGTTCTGGTCTCTAGCGAAATGTGGGGTTTCGGGAGAGGGACGGCTTCGCCTTTTCATTAGCCCAAAACTACATCCCCGCGGATTGGATGCTGTTTTGAACCTCGAAGCGCCCACCCGGGATCTGCTGCTATGGGCTACGGCTATACACTCCGAGCTGCGTGAAAAGGAGTCCATAATTCAGCGGACGGTTCTAAAGTCTTCTATTGACCGGAAAGCACCAATACCCGAATCCGAAACCTTAAGCCTTAAGCCTTGAACCTTAAGCCGGTAAGCCGGAAAGCCACCGGAGCCTTGTCTCCCAGCTAAGGACTTGACCACGACGCCGGAGTGGTTCGAGAAACGTTCACTGCTCGCAATACGGGTTTAGGGCTCCACTCGGGTGGGGGGAGGGGGTGGGGGGGGTGCATGCCACGCGCAAGTACACGCACGCAGAAGCACACAGAAACTAGAAAGATCGTTGCAAGTGGACTTCGGTTTCAGTGCGCAGCCGCTGCACAGACTCCCCGAAGCTCCAAGTTTCTGGCCGCCAGCATTCCGGTAACATGCCGTTGTTATTTGATCTGCCCTGAGGCCCTGACGCTACCCACCGAAACCTAATCGGACCTAATCGTTGCTTGCGAAACCTGGCGCAGAGTCACTGCATTCCTCCTTCGTGCCATGAAGCTGCATGACTTCCCGGATCCCTGCCCTTCCCCAGACAGGAGAATCCAACGGCAAGAGTCCTGCGAATCGCTTGTAGGCTTTAGCGTCCATTGCCGCCTGGTTCTGGCCGTCATCTCCATGGTGGCCTATGCGACCTGGACATTACATGCAAGCGACAGTTGTCACGGGAAGATGTAGGCAGGTGCTGACCAAAGCATGTAAGGGAGCTATCTCCCAAGGTTCTTCTTGCCAAGTCAGATTCAAAAGAGGTCAATAGGATATCTGTGCATTCCTTCAGCAGATCATTCCCCAGTACCACACATGTTTCCCATACCCCAGCTTAGGTGATCACGAAGATCGCTGCTTCACTGTTTGCAGGGGCTGTTCTGTTCGAAGTCATGTTGGGCGTGTCGATGTGGACCAGCGTGCCATTCATTTTGCTGCTGCTTGGACGAAGGACAGCTCGGAGAAGATTTGCCTCCCCTAGCCATTCTCGTATCGTAGCGTTGCATGAATATGCGGCTGCAGTTAGAAAACCCCTTTATCGGACAAAATGCTTCGAAGCTTCCTCGGGTCGCTGTCGGGCATCGCTCACAGGTTCACAGCGATCTATGCTGCATTTGGTGGGCTGCGTGCGGTGATGTGCCTGGGTTTAGACAGAGCTTGCAGGGAGAGTGCACTTTTCACCCAGCGAGGTCCTGCGGTTTCATATTGCTTTTCCTCTGACCTCCGCCAGGTGGGGTACGAAGGATTTACTTCTCGTTGTAGCCTTTCTCCTGGCTTGTCGGGAGATCTCGCCTTTGTTCTGTCTCTACGTTTGCAAACTTTCTGCGGGCTTGCGGTGCACTAAATCTGACGAAGTGGCACCTCACACTTCATATGCTTCGAGGGTCGATGCGTATTCCAGGCTTGTGTGCGACTTTGGAAAGTCCCGGAAGAAGAGGTCTCCAAGCTCTATTGGGTATTCTCGGCTGCCGAAGCTATGTCATCCCGAAACGATCCAGGGAAGTAGCACCGACAAGCGATTCCTGCTTTCGAAGCCCTGTTCAACATGCAGCGGAGCATCTGGCGACGTCAATCCAAGGTACACGGATGCCGGACAAGCGACTATTTTCCTCATAGGCGGCTTCGTTGGCATGGCGGTGGCCTTCAGCAAGATAGGCCTGGAAGTTCTGCTGGTCGTGCGTCGTTGGCCCCGTGGCAAGTGTGTCCGTGCTCAAGCAGTGTCACCGTTCGGGGAGTTCATGGGTGCAGATGGAAGCTCGAAGAAGTGCCCTTAGCCTAAGATTGCGTCGCGAAGCCTTCTCTGTGGCTTTGTGGCAGGTCTGCCGTGCTAAGAGAGGGGAGACTGTTTATCATCGGCGGTAGCCTCGCTTGTGCATTCTAGTACGGCGAAATGCGGATGCAACATGGCTGTGTCTGCATCGAAACAGTCAACCAAGTCCTCCTCTGAGTTGCTAACTAGCAATCATATAGTCTAGATGCATCTGTACATGTGTGTATATATATATATATATAAGTATATTGCAACTTCTGTATATTACTTCCGGCAGTGAAGGTGGAATCGCTGGCCTTGCCGACACGCTGGAGAGGAACGATGCTCGCTTGGACCTGGCCCGCTGCGTTCCCTGAGAGTCTACAACCATGCGACTTAAACAGAGCCCCTCAACCATGACAGGGAGTCTGGCGTTCTTGTATTGCGCTTTCTGGTTACTTCGCCCAGAACAAAGCCTCATCCTCGAGCCTAAATCCCCCCCAAAGAAGCAGCAACCCCTAATCCCCTAGACCCTCAACCCCCTCGACCCCACCCCTGCGCCCAAATCCAAGGACTTAAGCTACATGCTGACAACGCTGCGGCCACCATCCGACAAGCAGTTCCCCTACACAGGCTCGGGAGTCTGCAGAGCCCTCGTTTTGGGGCTTGTACAGTTTGAGATTTCTGATTTTGGAATTTGCTGAGTGTGTTTCCCAGCAGCACTTTAAGGCTTCGGGTTTCAGGAGCCATTTTAGGGCTTCGGGTTTAGGGTTTCAGAGCCATTTGAGCAGGGTTCAAGGGGCGCCAGTGGGCACAAGCAGTTTCTCTGTCAGCATTGGGTTGGCCGTTCACCCTGCCGGAGGCCAGTACATTCGGGAGACTCTACGCCCAAATGGCATGATTCCTAAATGCAGAGCTTGAAGTACGAGTCGCAAATTTGTTCGAAGCCCAAGCCCGAGACCTTGAACCCTAAACCCAAACCCGTAATGACAACTTCATAAAGTTCGAAGCAAAGAGCAGACGCTGTGGCAGGAATGCTGCTGGGGCAGCCCTTGTCGTCCATGTGGTCACCCGGCGATGGTCAAGCAACTCATGGCGTGGGGCTTCCCCCCCGCTTAGGGCTTTGGGGGTGTTGCGTTCAGAGTCTACCTGCGGTTTCGGCATTTGGGTCTAGACTTGTGGATGCTTTCAGGCTTTGCAAATTTGGAGTTTAGGGTGCGGGACTTGGCTGTCGATTTAAGGTTTCGAATTAAAGTTTGGACATGTTTACCGTCTAAAGACCCCTATAGATGAGCTTGGCCTCAGAGTAGTAGAGCTGTTCACAGGGTCTCAGAAGGTTCCATGAGGGTTGGGGCTGCACTCTGGGTGAATGGGTAACTTTGTTTCCCCGGGCTCAGATAACATGCAGGCGATATGAAGTTGATGTTTGCGAGCCCGCAGAGTACCGTATGCCCACTTGACTCTCAAAAGATGATTATAATAGACAAAAAGTGGTATTAATAAAACAATATCGGATAGAATAATTCATTGTTCGAGGTATTGGTGCGTGGACCAGACGATGGTCCAACGCGTTCTGAGCGCCAAGGGCGTGGTGCACGCCCGAAAGGGCTGCCTTCTTGCAGGCTTTTGGGGCTTTCGGGGTTTAGTATAAGGCCTCGGTTGATGGGCGGACTTGGTGATCCAACTCCGAAGCCCTTCGTTCGAAGATGTCGCTTGCGATTGTCGCCATTGGCAGGTTATCTCAAAATCCTACCTCCCTTCCTTATGGTGCTGCTCGACTGAGTTGGAGACATGGGGTTTCCTCAGACTCAGGTTGTTCGGAGACGGTTGGGCTGTTTGGGTGCTCAGGTTTTGAGGTTGTCGGCAGGCCGTGTCGAGCTTTCAGCCCGTTGAGATCGAGGCTGGTGGTGCTGGCAAGAAGGCTAGCTACTGCATGTTATCTTTTGCTTCTGCCACCATTGCAGCTTCTTTGCTGCTACTGCCACTTCCTCCACCTCCTACACCTCCTCCTCCTCCTCCTCCTCCTGCGCCTCCTCCACCTCCGCTTCCTGCTGGCCTGCTGATCCATTTTCTGGCTCTCTCCAGGAGCTTGACAGCTCCCGCTTAGAGGCCTAGAGACCCGGAGGCTTCGCACACCCTGACTCGAAAAAGCAATCCACAGCCTTTCTCAGGTTCCCTGGCATCATTGCCCGTGCCTTCTTCGCAGAGTGTCAGCGCTGCTTGGCCTCAACATACCTGCTGCTGGTTTTATGGATTTCAAACTGAAGGTCATCGTGACCGAGGTAGCTGGGATGAAGCTTAGCTGTGCACGTATCGGATTCTGCATGGATTGGCTCGGGCTGGCACAATTCGGCCTGCGAACTTCTTACAGTGTGGGCATGTGTTTGCTGACCGCTCGGCCTCATGTAGTGAATCAGTGAAACTTGTTGCTTCAGGGTCATACCGGGTTCTATAGCTTTGAAACACATTCCCGGCCAGGTTCTTGCGGTGTGAAGCAAAACACATCACGAAGCATGAAGCTAGTCTGCGTCTGCCTACCCATCCTACCCTACTTCGCTTCGTAAAGCTCAGGCACTCCTCACCCTGCAAAGCCGAGCTTTAAATTGAAAGTCTCATTGCCTCTCCAGAAATTCGACTATAAACTCGTGATCCCTGCAGTATATGAACCATAGTATAGCCACGTAGCACATAACCCGACAGTCGGACTGAGGAACAGAGGGCCAGCTGCACGGCGACTGGTGCGGAACAGACCTCGGTGATGCCAATGAGGTGGTCACGGCCGCAGCTTGCAATAGAACCCACTGAACTCGTCGTTTTATGCCCCAGACCAAAGATCCAGGCTAGTGTGCTGATGCATGCCCTAGACACTTTCAACACTTAACCTGGAAAGGACAAGAGTTTGGGCTTTGGGCTCTCGGGTTAAGCCCGAGTCTTCCAGACCTTGTCTCGAGACCCCAAAATTTCAAGGCATGGCTTCCGGAACTCCAAGGTGTGTTGTGTAGCTTCAGGGTTCGGATCGAAGACGGATGGGGAAGGATTGACTTTGTCTGTTCTCAAGCTCCTTTGAAGGAACCCGTGCGTACAGGAAAGTAGGTGAGAGCTTCAGAGCAGCCCCTGGATCCCGAAACCCCGAACCTATCCGACCGATCCGCAAACCACTTCGAGATTCAGGGAACTGAAAGCTGAGAGCTCAATTCTAAGTCCCGAACATCCCCTAACCGTGGCTACTCGTACCTAGGTTGTTATTTGTCCCCAGAGGCGAGTTACCTACAGAGTGGATCACGACCCCTTCATAGCCATGCATCGTGCAGTAGCCTGTTATATGGCCCAGTACTAGGCGGCTCCATAAATCCTAAACCTCCTAAGAGCCCTACACCTTAAACTTTAAACCCTAGCTGAAACCCATTGCCCAAACCCTAAACCTCAACCCCAAACTCTTAGAACCCCTAAACCTCAAACGCCATGAGACAGCGCACAACGGCCTTGGCCAGTCGAGCAAAGCCTACCCGCTGCTCATCGCCAAGATGTTTCCAGATGGTCTTCGAGGCCTTCTCCCCTGATTGATAAACCCCTTGGCTTCAGCTGCACCAAGAATACAATCCTGCTGGTTTAGGGGTTTAGGGTTTAGGGTTTCTAGGTGTTGCACAGACTCCTAAGCCCCAAGCACCGCAAGCATACGACACAAACGCCGCCTCGCACCATGAACCCTACATCCTTGGGCCTTTTGTTAAGAAATGTCCATGTCTATAGAAACCCTAAACCTTAGAGCCCTGGACCCTACAAAGGCCTTCTGATCGTTTCCATGGTGCTGGCCATGATGTCCAGCTTGGACTCGGTCCTGAGCTGAGCTGCTTCTTGGGGGTTTAGGTTTGGTGTCATTCGGGTTATAGACGATCTGGGGGGAGACATGTACGGATTTAGTTTTAGGGTTGCCATGCATTAGTAAGTGAGGGGCTTCGTCTGGATGCTTTCTGTTTCAAGGGTTTGGGGATGAGCCCACTTCTCAACCGCGCAGTTGGGGGGCTTGGCATGGTCATGGTTGTTGACATTTGGACTTATAGGGCATGGGCTCTAAACCCTAAACTCTAAACCCTAAACCCTAAACCCTAAACCCAGATGGTTTAAGCTTTTTGCCGCTTTTGGGTGTCGAGTTGTGGGCTCCCATGCACGAGGGCTTCGAATCGGGCGTTGCCGTGTTTCTACCTATACAAATGAATAAATATAAACACACACACATATATATATATATATATACATACATGCACACACAACTCAGTCTGAGAAATTCAGCATTGCGGTGCTTCAGGCATCGGATATCTCAGCTCGTCCCAGGTATCTGCGGCTAGAGAGGGGTATGCCTGCCGTATTGCGGGCATAGCTTGCACACTCGGTTGCCCATGCCAGTCCCAAGTTGCCAGTTTCTGCTTTGCTATGTTTTTTGAATAATGTATTGTCATCATCGTCACAGTCATCGCCACCCTCGGATTCATCCCCGAACTCATCGTCGTCATCAGCATTCTCACCAACACCATCCCCATCGCCAGTATCATCATCAGAACCATTATCACAGCCCAGCAGTGGCACATAAGCCATAAGAGCAAGCGCCCAACAAACCTGTGCGAGACTAAAGCAGGGGCAATAATAATTAGAATAGGGTTTGGTGTATATGCTGCTGTGATTATATGAAGGAACCCCCCAAAGCCCTATTCTAATTATTCAGGCCCCGACATTATCTGGAAGAAGCGTGACTCTGGATCTGCCCCTCGTTTCTTGCAGCCCATCCTTGACCCCATCTCGCAGGTGTTCAACTGCTTATCCACCATCTTCACGTACGACATCTACAAACGCTTCCTCCACCCGGAGGCCCAGGGTTTACTGGTAGGGCCGTTCAGGACCCCTACTTCCACATGGATTTGCAGGCAGATTAGCAACCTCCTGATGAGTGGCCGGCTTATCAACAAGAAAGTCTCCATGCCCCAGCGTCCACCGCGCTGTCTGCCTAGCTATGAACCCAAGCGACCGGTACGGCTATGAAGAGGCACTGTCTGCGAGGATGACGAAATTCGGGGATGAGGAAGTTTGGCAAATAGAATCGGCTGATGAAGATGACTCAGATGACGGCGATCACAGCATCATGGAATTCGAAGGCTTCAGATTTCCAGATCCAGTTCCGAGGCAGCAAATATCGACGGTGCACTTGGATGAGCAGGACATCGTTGGACACAGCCTTAGTGGTGAGGTGCTGTTCCAGATTGAACGAAGTCGTTTGCAAGCTGAACTGTTGACAGCTGGAATGCTCTTAGAACAGATCTCAGACGAGACCGGTGAACTGTTGACAGCTGGAATGCTCTTAGAACTGATCTCAGACGAGACCGGGTGCGAGGCCGGAATTTTGCTGCAGGATGGCCGCAAGCTATCAACGTTCGACCCTGTCAGTGGAGAAGCAGTTCTGACACTAAAGCAGACACTTCGGGACTGTCGACCCCTGCTTTGCCGAAAGATCCCTCACTGGCACATCTGCACTCCACGCCTCGGGGCTCAGTCGGAAGTCCGCCCAGACCTTCACGACATGCTGGAGCCCGTGCAGGCACTGAGGGAGTGGCGGACGTGGGTGACCAGTGCGGGCAACATGAATTGGATGGTATATACCAGGCGCGAAGTCATATCCTACGAAGCAGGCAGAGATGAGCCCTTGAAGCCCTTCGGATATTTCCCTCACGCACCTTGCTGGAAGCTGCCGGTAGGAACCAGGCAGTGCGGAGGCGAACGAAGTGATGTATGGAGCACTTGCGTAAGACTGCCTGTGAGACAGCTGTTGGATGAGCATGCAGCCTTAACGCTGGACAGGCCGATACCACGATACCAGATGATCGTGGATCCCAATCAATTTGTTCACCAGACACGTGACGGTCCTGTGTGGGTGCCGTGCGAGTTTGATATTTCTGCAGATGGCACTCCGTCATTGGTGGGTGGTGCGCGAAGTCACGAGTATCCACACCTTGCCCAGCATGTTGCGCATCCGGTACTTTCCGCAGCACTTCCCTTGTTGGCAAAGTTGCGGCGACCGCAGCTTCTCCTGGATGATCGGCGGCTGCAAGTTGTGTTTAAGGCACAACGCATAATTGTTCCAGGAAATGCCGGTAACAGCTCGGATGCCGAATATGTCGGTCTGTGGCATGTTGACGGCCACAGGGAAAATGTGGCTGCCGTCGTGTTGTACTACTACCACGTTGACTCTGCTCTTCGTGGTGGTGACATGGAGTTCTGCGGCCGTGAGCCCATGGATGTCTTGAGCCGGAGCGATCTCATGGAGGAAAACGAATTGGGATCGGAGACCCTGCGGCTGGCCCTCCGAGGTGCAAGCCAGAGTGGCAAGTCTGCTGCAGTGCACAACTGTCGGGTTCCAATAACTGCGGGCACTCTTCTTGTGTTCTCGAACTATCAAATGGCACACCGGGTTCTGCGCTTGCACAACACCTGTGCGACAGAGGCCTCGCGCGACTTCGTGGCTCTCTTTGTCCTTGATCCGTCTGCGCCGGCCCTCCTTCCGGCAAGGAGCGTTCTGGCCGGGCGGCACTTGTTGAAACGGACCCTGGCTCCTGTCGGGATTTCAACATCAGCCTTTCAGAACTTGCTGGAATTTCTGGGATTCTCGCAAACCGACGCCATGAGGAAGATGCAGCGAAACTACCTGCTGGCAGAGCAATTGGAGCCGTCCGGTGAGTTTGCTAATGGGGGTCAGGTCTTCATGACTGGGAACGGATGCTTTACCATGATCGGCTGGCTGCACAAGTTGCTCGAGCACAGTGGGGATCCAGAATCCTTCCACAAGTTCAGAGGTATCGAACGTCTCAGAGCGCTCAATCTGGCTCCCGAAGGCTCCGACCGTGGTCTCTCCGAGCTTCTCTCGCTGCCTACTACGAAGCTGCGGCAACGTCTCGGAGAAGTTGGCAAGGGCTCTGAAGCTGGCACTGACGTGTTTCCTTCGGTGTTACGGGGAATACTTTTAGTAGGTGCAGCTACCTTAGCCATACTAGCCCTGCGTAGTAAGTCCCCCTGATCCTTCAAGGAAGATGGCTCTGAAGATCACGAGCCGCAACGGCGAAGGCGTAGCTGCGGCCATGAAGCTTTGAGGCAGCTACGATGTGTGGTTGCCTGAGCAGGCTTGACCCATGCAGCGGCAAAAAGCTGAGGGGCATGTAAATCGCGAACTGTACAATGCATGTACAACTATATTTCAGCATTCCCCGACTTTACGCCTGTATTCCAAGTCTTCGTAATGCTCCCCAGTGCTTGCGAGCCTCACTTCTCCCCCCCTTCCCCAGACCAACATAAACCTCAAGTTCCTGATCAACCAGCCCCTCAGAACTCTAGAACCCTGAACCCTCGACTGCATATTACTCCCAAACATAAGCTGTGGTTGGTTCTCGACTAGGCCTCCTCTTAAGGAAAGCGGGCCTTAACCTTAGACAGCTGGCAATGCAGGGAAGAGGTACAGAATGGGACAAACCTCTGCTCTATATCTCCTGCCTGCGCCGTCTTGATGCGCAGGCTTCGCGTCGTCGGCAAGTGTGGATTGGCCAGCTGGCAGCTTGTCTGCTATGAAGATGTGCGCAGGGTCAGTATCCGGTGCTTGGGCTTCAAGATGGTTTAAGCAATGGCTAAGCTCAAGGCCCTTCAACAACAGTGTCCTCGTACAGTCCCTACACAAGTACAGGAGCATAGGGGTCGGGATTTCCCTTATATTCTGTGTTGGCTGGAAACTTTACAAGCTCCTCCCAGGCAATGGCACCCGATGCCTTGTCTGGACAGCAACAGAAGCCCAAGCGTGCTTTGGATAAGATCCAATGCCCAGGGGGCATCAGCATGACGAAGATGGAAGTGTCGGTGCTCACAGATCGCACGAGTGAAGCCCTAAACCCAAAGCCCTTGACAGTTTACGTTTAGGGTTTTCTGTCATACTATCACGATGGCCCTGGCGCACCTCAGATCTTTCAAGCCCAACACGGCTGTGCTGGAACGATACTACGACGACTACGACGGTTGAACCAAGGAACCCCCAAGCTCAAGAAGCCCCCAAGTTACATCCTGAGTAATGGTACCTTGGTTGGAGAACCTGGCTTATGATTAGGGTCCTGGAATCAGAAAGTCGCTTAAGGTACGCAGAAAATCGCTACTTGCCACCATGTGGGCCTCGGCGACGGTATGAGCACAACCTGATATGTGTCCGTGTCACCCTACTCTGTGGGCCCCAAGCTACTCTAGTCCTGAATGGCACATCAAAGCCTTTGAGCCTTCATCGTGAACTCTAGGCACACTGAAGCCCTCATGCCCGGCAAAACCCAAGCTAAACACATTCAGAAATCCAACAACCCCGAACAACCCTCGAACCGTAAACATCTTGCACCTTAAGAACTCGAAACCTTAACAAAAACCCTCCCAGAAACCCAACAACTCTGAAAATCTTACACCTTGAGAACTCTATCAGCCATAACAAAAACAGTCCGACCTGCGCTCCAAGGCCACGGGTGTCGCCGCCCTTTGCGGGCTGGCCTGGCTCCCCATGATTGCCAACAGCGCAAACGGACCTCAAACCCTGAGCCCCCAAAGGGTTTAGGGTTTGGGGTTTAGGGTTTAGGGGTTTAGGGGTTTATGTAGGGGTTCAGGGGTTTAGGGTTTAGGGTTTAGGAGCCCCCAAATCCGAAACCTTCCCCTAGAAAGCCCATAGCAGCAATAAGAGCCTTGGGGTAGGGTCTCCGGCACCCGAAGCCCGAAACCTTATAAAACTGTAGGATCTGCTCAGGGGTTTGGGATTTAATTAGGGTTTTTGGCCATCCAAGCGGATCTCTGTGAGGGTGTCCAGGTTCCATTGAGGGTTCAAGGTTTAGGGGTTTGGCTTACTTGGAATACGCCTTAAGCGACTTTGGAGCCGGGATCGTTTGGGGCGTGTGGACATATTTGCTTGACATCATGATCCAGGCATGGGACCGCTTCTGAGATCGCCGTTCCTGCACAGTTTGTTGGCTTTCTCATGTTGATGGTAACCGGTACTGAGTTCATAATGCAGACCTGTGGTTTACACCCCTCCCCCCTCTTTCCTTAAAGCCCTCAAAAACCAGATACTTAGGACGCCTACTGTAAGCACTATTAAGGGAGTGCGGCTTGCTATCAACGAAATAAGTCATCAAGGTTTCTGGGTCTGATTTATGGTACCTACACCCAGTGCAAAGCCCCTTTCTTGGATACCTTATGCTTATGTTCTCCAGGACTGCCCTGAACAGCCTCAATGAATCGGGAGCTCATAGTCATAGTCTGTTTCTGCCGGCAGTCGGACTGTAGAATAGAGGAAGTTGGAGGGTGTTCTGTGTCTAGACTGGGTTTCTGAAGCCTGATAACCAAAGTACCAGCTGAAAACATGAGAGTTCCCATGCCTGGACACGTACTGTAGACATTGAAGCCTCAATCTGGTACCTTACAGCTCTATCACAGCGTGAAACTCCATGGAACTTGTCATCCCGAAATATTGCAACCGTACCCTGGTGCGCCGCAGGATTGTACCTGACCACACAGAGTGCGCAAACTCACATGCACCTCGACATTCGGTTGTTGGGGGCGGCGTTCCCTTTTTGGGGATTGGACGTTTGTTCCGGCTTTGGGGCCTTGAGGTTCCCTGACTGGCCAACGATTTCAGCATTTCAGGTGGCCTTGTCCAGTGAAATAGCTTCGCTGTGAACTTAAGGCTCAGCTCGGAGACAAGTTAGCATTGCACCAACGCCGAGGCGCCCAATAGTATGCTTTCCAGGCCTAAGTTTATAAGGTCCTTTATACTAAAGAACGGACATCTAGAAAACACGTAGAATGGCTGCAAACTGGATGTGTGAAGCGAACGTCCATTTCAGTCGTATTGCAGAAATGGAGTGTTAGTTGAATG